AGTCTAGAAGTCAAGAAGTCTTTTGAGGGAGATTAAATCACATAGCTTGTCTCTTACAGTGTGGATGAAAATAATTTCCCACAGTTTTTGTTTCAAACATATATTTTTCATAATCCAGCCAAGTTTATATAAAATGAAAATTGAAAATAAGGCAAATATATCAAGGCACATATATACTAACAGGTTATAATAGGTTTACGTTAAATAAAAAACAGTAATATCCAAGAAATACATATTTGTTACTGCATCTTTTGCAGGAAGTTAAAACTGAATTCAAGGAGTACTGCAGAATTTGTTGATGCTTAAAGAGGTACAACATGCTTAAAGTACCAAAACACTGAAGGACATGATGATGAGGATTAGCAATCTCAAGAGCTAACTATCCTATAAACAGATAACATTTTATAGAATTTCATGAAACAGTTGCATTACTGTTAGCATAACTACATTTTTTTTGACATTTTATTAAGTTACAGAACTTCTTTAATGTTCAAATGTTTTGTAATTTTTTCTTATGATTAGAGGAATGAATTACTAAAGTCAATGGAAGGGCTAGAGCTCATCATATAAAGCATTCCCCACCAGCTGGGAGTTCAAGTCAGCACAATTTACTCCACTATTTGGAGGCTGGGGTTTCATGTGACAGACAGGCACTATGTAACCTTCCTATTCAACAAACTTTGAAGTACGCAATGAGCTTAAGTAGGCAAAACTTTGGGCTTTAGAGAAATTAAATCCTCCTCAAATTAATTTGTTTCAAAAGTGAGGAAACAAAATCTTCCAGAAAGTAAAAAGACAAGAACAGATAAACTGGAAAAAAAAATTTAGTAATAATCAGCTGAAAATGGTAATATTTGATCAAGCTAAATGAAACACTAAAAAACTCCCCACCTCTAAGTACGTCTGAGAAATATAGCTCCAATCTCAAAAACTTTAAAATACTCTCTCATATGTGTACTATTTCTTGATATTCAAGTCAACGTTCTTTTGTTCCAGCTGTAAACTACACTATTCTAGCTACTTGGAAAGTTGAGATGTTGGAAAAAGTCAGTCCAAATAGATGGATGCTTTCTTTGTGTGACACAGATCCCTTCAGAGTTGTCCAGTATAATTTGTAACTAATAAAGTCAGTCTTCTGTTACCAGTAGTGTGTTTGAAACAGAGATTTGGACAGCGTTGCCTAATTTGGATGGAGAATATAGGCAGACATCATGAAAGAATGACTTTTCTGTCCTAAAATCTAAGTAACACGAACATTTTCAAAGGAAAAATGTATCTTGCCAACTCCATACACCAAATCCACGTTAACTTGTATAGCAAAGCAATACCCTGTAATTAATAACTAACCAAAAAGGGAACCTAAAGGTATAGGCAGACAAATACATGATCATGGGGTAATCAGGATATGGTCTGGTAATGCTTTTTTACTTCAGGGAAGGCAACTTCATGTTTACCCCAGCTAAAACAGTAACGGTTACTTACCTTTTTAGGCTCTTGTCTCCATAGGCTCTAACCCATCTGAATATATTTCACATCATTATCTATGTTTTTGATGTCTATTGTAAAATATTTTTATGATCAGCATGAAGAAAATACCCATATAATGTATTTTATGCAGCACAACACATTGCAAAGGAAGATGAAAGCAGCTGGTCTTCTACTTGCTTCAGTTGTAATTCCGGCATAAAGTAAAATTTTAAATAATGTCATACCTTCTAGGGCAAATATTCTCTCTCCAAGTGCTTCAACAATAGTTACAAGAGCTAATTCATCTGAGACATTGAAGAAATGCTTTTCAGTAGGCTTACTGGCAATTGATTTTATTTCCTCTACAAATTTCTCAGTACTTAAATTTCCTCTGCTGTAGCTGCCAAGAATCTAAGGAGAATTAAAAAAAAAAGCAGTCAAGCATATATTTTATAACCTGTTTTAAAAAATGTCTTTGAGACAGGTTGTCAAAAAAATTCGGGAAATAGTATCTAACCTTAATTTAGTCTGCTAAAACCTACAGGATTGTATGAGGGCTCAGTTGTTTTTCTGAAAACATCAACAGTAGCAAACAAAGCAACTGTATGGTGTAATGACTGCTATCCTCAACTGTCCTTTTTTTTCCTTTCTTCATAAAATTCTAATGATTTGTACTGTGATTCTATGATTTGTTGAAGTAGGCCTTAATTTAGAAAAAAACCCCAACACAACAACATCCAAACCAGAATACACAATTGCACTGGCTTCTACGTACCACCAATTCTCCTCATAACGTGATGTATGAGCAATTAAGGACAAGTTAATTAGGCATAGAATAATTGTTTTTTGTGTGCAGATTTGCTCTATAAATACATGTAACAACACTACTTGCATTCGGTGTTAACAACTTGATCACAGTACAAGATTTCAGATTTTGCTTGCAGTTTTAACACCACGCCTGTAAAAATTCAGGATACCTCAGAACAAAACAACTCACTTTTCCAACTCCCAGACCAACAAGTATTTTTCTTAGAAAGACGTGCTCTGTACACTTAACTTGCTTTGAGAGGGAAATAAAAAACAAACTTCCATGTTCTACATTCCTGGACGCCGGAGCAATTTAAATGTGGTTCTAGACAGGGATTTTATTGTTAAAAATTATTACAGCTTCAAGAGCAACTTCTTCTTTAATGATCTCTAGCTTTATGAAGGAAAACCACTGAAAATTTGCGTGCTACTGGATTCAACTTCTGTTTATATCTTTCTTTAAATTAAAGATAACGTTTTTTTTGAAGTTGTATGGTTCCATGCTACCTCACTGTATCAAAACAAAGAGGAATGAAGAAGCAACAATCCAATGTACCTTCAAAATTAATGACACAAAATGGATGATTTGAGTGTAGAATACATAAATACAATGGAAAGTGAACATCAAATTGATCATTAATGTTTCTGTATTTCTCAATATGGGTTAACCAACATCATGTTCATCCTCTCTTTCAGCTACTAAGTTTGCTCAACATGAAAATAACAACTTTAGAATACCAGCACACAGAACAGCCACAATAAACCTGTTTACGTTGATGGTTTACATTTGCTTTTTTTTTTTCAAAGTAGGTAACATGTCTATAGAAATTGCTCAGAAGATTTGAACTAATCCACTCTGTTCAATATTGCCCTTAACAAAAAGGATTTAATTTCATACTGCCCCTCAAGTTCCTTCGCCTTTTTCCTCACATGCACACACACCTGTCATCATCAGGAAGACAGATAGATTGTTTTTTCTTATGTGCTATAAAATCAGAAAGCAATTTTTAAATTTTTTTTTAGCTTTTTTCTTTTTTTGCTCTCTGAAATGATTATATTTCTATAAAGATTCTGTGAAGTGAACTTTTTAAACAGGAATTACATTTGGAAGATGAAACATGCTTTTAAGATTCTGAATTTTCCCATTAAATTTCACTTACAGCAATAGCAAACCTCTGAATGTTTTCATCTTCACAATTATCAATCACTTCTTTTAATCTGTAGTTGTCGTGTGATTCCCCATCAGTCACAATAACCATTACTTTTTGTACTCCTCTCCGTGCGCCATGAGCCTCAGTAAAAGCCTCTTTCCTAAAGGGAGCATAAAGTGTTTGGAGAAAGGCAATGTCAGCATTTAACACATGCATCATATTTGCGTAATCAACCATAAACTAAAAGACTTCACATTAACTAAGAAGCAGGAAAATTAATATTAACCATGAACAAATACAAACAACAACAACTGGAACTTACATGACAGTTCACAGCCAAACAGTTTCACAAGCATTCACTCATTTGAGAGCAACAGCAGAAAACACAATGCTGTATAATGAAGAATTCCTCCCCTCTCAAACACATTTCTGGTGCCTTAAAACAGCTTTTGGCAGCTTAAAAAAAACCCCAACCAACACCTCCCCCCATCCCGAAACCCACATATAAAAACTCCACCTATTTCCACCCTACAGCAGCACTTCACGTGGTCATTTACTCAGCTACCAGCACACCTCTGCACATCTACAATAAAACAGCGTGTTGGGGATGTGGCAGAAGTAGGTTGCAGGTGAGTGGAGGCAGATGGGTGGGACTGGTTGAATTCTACTACAGCTGCAGATCGGAAAATAGGCACCGAGGTTTTGGGCAGCTGCTTGCCCAGACTCTGGAGGGGACCAGAAAAGGCAAGGCTGGATTACGGCTCTGGAGGAGAAGGAAGGAAGCAGGGCTTCCTCTTTTTAGAATACTGCAGCACTCTAAGACTGGCCACATGAGTGAAAGCTAAGATCTACTGATGAGGGCCAAAAGTGGATGGACAGGAAGACTGCAAGAACAGAGGAAGCTTTTGCTGATAGTTTCTGTATATACAAGCCTGCAACAAGGTCTTCCTGAACCACATGTGCTTTCTGAGTATTTGGCAATTCTCGATTGGCTCTGCTTTCATGAACTTGTTCAGACTCGCTCAATCTTCTGCTTATATATTCACCAGTAATGTTTTCCTTAGATGCAAGGATTAAATTGGATTTAAGACATCATATCAAAAAAACTTTGATCAGATAATCAAATAGTTCATCAGAAAGATGCTGCATATTTCACTAAATGGTTGTTTGGAAAGGATGAATGCAATCTTTTGTGGAATAAAGTCATGCTGTCACGCCAGAGAAGAAAGAAGAAAAGAAAAAAGATACCAGGACAACGTTGTACAGTTTGAAAGTGGCTGAAGGATTTTATATTTGCTGTCTGTCCTACAAAAGTCAGATTCCATTTTTCTCATAAAGGAAGCATTTCTAAATAATGCTTATTGCTACAACAGGTCTTTAATCTCCCAATGATCCAGAAGGTTCAAAAATTTGGATATAAAATTCCTAGGCTTTCTGAGAAGTGTGGGCTTAAACCATGTAATAATCTTAAACCTCAGAGTGAAGACAAATTTTCATTATAAAGTTCTATTTTTTTCCTCTTTCCTCTGAAAAACTTAATTTCCTTCACCCCTCCACACACAAAGGTCCTACCTGCTCTGTGTGGACATAAAGATTGACAGCCCTCTGCTTAGGACTACAACCTTGCTCCATGTCTCTTCTTTTTCCCTATTTCCTCTGTTCAAGAGTCAGCCTGCCTTTTCAGGGTGCCATAAACAACTGCTCTAAATGCAGGACAGTCTGTTTATCCACCCTCCTACTAAATTTTTTTGCTTAGCTAAAATGAAATCAGACGTCAGCCACCTCATATTTTTAATTTATAAAATCAGAACTGTCACCATCTGTTTATTTTTGTTTCTACCATATGCAGGACAATATTTTGTGAACGTACCTCGCTGTATCTATTCCCAGGGCTGTCATAGTTTGTGTGCCACCCCGCTGGCGTATTCTTGTGGCTGCAGCCATCACATCTTCCGTTGTCGAGTACGTATTCAGGAAAAATTCATGGACTACAGTCTGTCCATACTGAACAATTCCAACCTGAAACGCACAGTTCTTGTTAAAAATTGACTACCCTTAAAGAAAGCATCTGTGTCTCCTGCATGAAGGTAAACGTTCATCTGTACCTGAAGTCTGTGTGTTCCCCTCAGTATGAAATACCTGTAAGCATTTGAGCAAGACTGGCTAGAAGACACTCAATCTCATTAAACTTTTTGAAGTTTCTAAATTGTTTATATTAAAAATGGGAACAAAGCCAAAAGCAGGCTCAACACCATGCTTTTCCTGACTTGCAGTAATCTGCTTTCCTCTAGGCCATGGCAGACCAAAGCCCTAACCACCAGCCACAACTTCTCAAAATAGTTTTCCTTATAGCATACGAGGCCATGGTTCACTCACAACACCCTTCATTTCATCCAAATATAATACATCTGATAGTTTATTTACCCTAAACCTAGCCTAGAAACAGCACTGCAATTACAAACTTGGGCCCTCAGTGTGAGAGGAAGACCCAAGCACCCTTATCTTGATGAAGGCAGCAGGGCAGTCCAGGACATGGCTGTTCTCCCAGCATGAGGCAAGCCAAAGATAGACACCTGACAAGTGCCAGAGGGGACAAGATGAACAAAATGGTGGCTTCTGGAATGGGGGAGTATGATGGAAAGACTCTAGATGACCTCAGCAGCAGAAGTCTTTATGTGAAAGATTAATGCATGGGATTGGAACCCAGCTGAACTGCCTGAGGGAACCTACTGCAAAAACAGGGCTGAAATGAAAAGATATGCAATATTCTTAAATATCAATTATTTTCTCTCATTCATCTCTGTCAGTTTTAGTGTTTTGGCAGGTTCCTGACAGCTTTTACTGGGAAGATTCCACACAATCTTCCATTAGCATATTTCAATTTTATATTACACATGGCAATTTATAGGTGTTATTTAGGATAATGCAGTATTATGTGGCATATTTATGTCTCACTCATCTATTATTAAAAGCACTATAGCATTTAGGTATTGAAGATCAGTAAGACCTCTGGGATGTTTATGCCATCATATTATTTTAGAACTGCCTTAGTATGCACTTTGCAATTGCTTTATAGGTGTTTTGTGAGGTACTTTCATAGCGTCTCAGATTCTGCACAAAGTTTGTTTGCTTGTAGTAGGAGGGTTAGAGTTGGATAAATATTTGATACTAAACATCAGTATCACAATCATTATGAAAAGCTAGTTACATACAATTACAGAACTAAAATTACAATGGTATGTGGTAGCAAAATCTATCCCACTTCATTTCCGCATCCTTTTGAAAATACAATCAAATCTGGAAGAATTGATGTAAGTTCCAAGTTATGACAAGCTGCTCCCTTTTAAGATATTTTAATTCTCTCTTGGAGGCATGACGTGCTCTACCTGCAGCCGAGCACCCAGAGGCTGCATGTTCTTCTCGTGGGCAGCAGCCGATTAACCCTGCACAGTGTTTGCACAACGGGCTGGGGCACAGGCTGTATCACTGCTCACAGCAGTCGTGTGGCACTGGCTAAACCCCAAGCTGAAGACAAAGTTTTTAACCTGTTCCCTCCAAGGCAACTGTTTTGTGGCTTGCATCTAAAGTGACATACAGCATGATCTGAACAGGATGCTGCTAGAAGCTTAAAAAGGCTGCCATTAACTGGTGGTAAACAAGAGGTTTTCATCAAGTTTGGTCTTTTGAGGCAGGAGGAGTGTCTCAAGTATTCCAGCACCATGCACAAGTGCAGCCAGAGACTACTGTACACCAGGGAGCCTGCTGCTGTGGATTCACGGGCTCCTTATCTGCAGCTGTGAGGATTTTATTGGTACCGAGGATTAAATCAGCTATTGATTGCTGCCAGGGTGAAAAGTATCTGCCAGTGTCTAGAAACCCATGGTGTTGTCATTTTTCTGAACAAAATTACAGGCTGACATTGAGTTGTATCATTTCCTATTTGAAAGGAAACGTTGTCCCTGATCATAGCAAGTAAACATTTTGAGCATTTCCTTCTCAGGAAGTGAATGGGAAGAACATCTGAGTCTGGAAAACTGCACTGTGTTGCATAGCTTGTAAATCAGGAAGGAAGGGGGGCATGTGGTTATCTTATGGGATACAATTGTTCTGTGGGACCCTTCCTTAGCACTAGTTTTGAAAACACTGATAATCATATTCTACATATTTTATGGCATCAAAGATGAGCCATTCCACAAAAAATGGTAACGAAAAACCTCACAGAACTGACAAAATACTACTAGGCTGCCCGTTCCATTGTCCCACAGGATCACACTCTGCAAAATTAGAATTATATTCTATTAGATAGTAATGAAGGTTTGAGCTTTTGTAGCCTTTTAATCTAATGGAAAACTATAAATGACACATCTACATGATGCAAATGTGCCTTTATGGGACAATAAACCTGTTCAAACTGCGTAACTTCAGCAAGCCCCTAAGAGTGATGCTTACAAGTGTTGTATGTTTTGATTTGCTTGTTTAATTTAAATCTGGAAAATGCAATATTACTACATGGAAGGACGTAATTCTGCTCTACTCCAGAAAACTTAATATTTTTCCCAGCATTACCGACCATAATCTATTGAACATCTTTGTAATTCCTAAGTTTATGTTCCCTTCCCTAGCATTCCATGGCTTTTATAATACACAAGGGAATAATTCTTTAATTGTCCCCAGTTCCTCTGAAAAAGTGTTGCATGAGAGAACATGCAACTGAAGGACTGTTCTACTTTGGGATAAAACATTTCTGAGGCAATTATTTATTGTTGTTCTATGAGTCAATACAGCCCCTTATTTGGAAAGTACGTTCTGGCTTTCCTGATAAACTATTAAGCTAATCTGTCTGGTAAAAAACAACAAAACCAAAATGAAAGGAACAACATTTAGTACATGTAGATGATAAGCTACAATTTTCACCACTGGGATATGGAGGAAAATCAGAAACATTTTTCTTTGTACTTAAATCACATTTAACGTAAACGAAAAGCAGAGATGCCTTGGGAAGCACCAATGGGTAATACATTTTATCATATGGGGAACTTGCTAAAGATACCTGAATCAAAGCAAAAGTGAATTAATTCTGCTCCCAAGGATTCAGAGAGGAATTACATGTAAACTATTGCAGAGGTCCTTCTTCATCATGAATCTTTTTAATACCTCTTTAATACACTTCCATTCTTCTGGAGATAAAACTGATCATAGGATATAACATGGCATGACTTATTAGTCCACTGATACAGTCCCTTTGGAGATTTAAAAGGTACAGGCCAAATACCTATAACTGCCTATGTCATATATTAATGGAGAAATAAAACCTGTCTGAAAATTGCTGAAGGCCATTCCAACATAGCTTTAAAGCTGGAATTGAACATATCAAAGTATTCTGCTTTCTCTCTTGATATTCTTCTACCACAGAAGGTTGCTCATATGTAAAGGATTAAAAAACATACCCTCATATTAAAAAGACAATTATCTCTACAGAAGTTTAAAGAAAGAGGAAAAAAAACCTATCTTGCCTTGCAATTACATTAAAATATTGAGTAAGCCCAGGAAAAATATTTTGTTCCTACTTGTACCATTTTTTCTCATTTAATTCCTTCTTCCTTTTCCACTTTTCTATCATCACTTTCCCTTTACTTTTTTATCCTTAAGGTCACCATGCAGCTTACCATCAGTATGGTGTTATGGATTTTCTAGAGAACAGGAAAAGGAAGGGAAGGAAATACTTCTGAAAAAAATATACTGTAAACTTCGGCTTTTTGCATCTGATACTTCTGGCTTTCACTTTCAAATTTGCCAAAAATGGGACACTTAGGAATTTCTCTTCTGACTTGCCACAAATCTAATGACCATTGTTCACGGAGGGCTAAGTGGGGGAAAAAAAGAGATCTTGCAAGCCTCTAATCAAAACATGGTTTTGAACAAGTCACACCCAAGCTGTTAAGGACTTACTCTGTAATCACCTCATTCCTTTCCGTGTAAAAGGAAAACAACCTGAAGTCAATGAAAGTCCACCAATTTCTACGTGCTCAAAAATACCCAGAAGATCGGCATGGAGAAATCAATTCAAACAGACAGAAAGTAAACAATTGTTCCTTTATTTCTATTTTGTGCTCCCAGAGCAGCAATAAGTAAGCCTGCTCTGTCATTTGTCCCCATACCTCATTCAATAGTCATTTAAACACAGTTTCTGAGAAAGGAGACAGTGTGGGTGGAGGAGAGGGTATAAACTCGTTACTACCTTTGGCTGTGCCAGGGTTCCAAAGCAGGGGGCTTGGAGGAGAGGAGAGGGATGGGAAATGTTCTAGGGATGGGGGGAAGGTAAGAGGAACGGAGAAAACTCCAGCTAGCTTTTGCCTTCCATTTCCAGTTTTGTGGCCTCTCTCCCCCTTATCCCATTCTTATCTCCCTCTCAAATGTTTCTGCTCTTTAGAAACCAGATGCCAAAGTGACGTTCTCAAGTGAGTAAGTGTACGTGTGAGAAGAGGGGTAGCTGTGCCAAATCATGGGTAGAACAGATTCTGTAGGTGGAGATGGCGGGCTGCTGGAGTGCAGGCCAGCAAGGGACATTTTGTGAGTGAGCCGAGCCACAAAGACGAGGCAGGATTCCAAAACTAAACATAACAGAGGTGTGGCAACATAAAAATTTAAGATTTGCAGGGTGAGGAAGAGGGGTGAGGGTGCAGTAGAGTTGATTGCCCTGTGTACTATTCCCATGAAGTCCTTTGGGCAGCAGGCAGTGATGATTTCCACGCAGCCATTACCCCATATTGGCAAGTTCAGGTTTAAGTATTTTCCCAAGGTGGCACATGTTTGAGTAATCACCAGCTTAAGAGACCAAGAAGAATTTTTCTTTTCTTTTCTGTTAAATTTGACAAAGTGTTTTTCCTTCTTCCTCACAATATCTGGAAGAACAGTGTGTTTAAAATAACAGGACATGATGGTAAAGTTGAGAGTTTATAAGTAATAATTTTATCAGACAGTGTTCTGCACAGCCAGCAGGGGAGTTGGTTCGTAGCTCACAAAGCGCACTTAACTTGGAAAATGACAGGGGTACTCTCTGCAGACAGAGGTATCCTTTACACCTTCTCACACTCTCCTTTGTGAAAGCAGCAGCTGAATGGAAGGAGCTAAGGTGAAGTGGCAAAATCACAAAGTATTGGCCTGCAGCATATTAAATATCATACAAGACCCCAGAAAATCCTTGATTTTATGAGGGGGTAAAAAGAGAGAAGGGAGAGGAAGACCTGGTTTCTTCTGTTGCTGTTAATAAAGCCCTCTGTGTTAAAATGTATCCTGGCACCCCGGCTTCCCCCTTCCCTGAGTTCTGCTGGAATTGCTATTTACATACTCTGTTCAGCAGACTGTGAAGATCCTCAGCTGGGGTAATTGGTTGTAGCTCCATTAATTCTGGTGGAACTGTGCTGATTTATAGCAGCTGGGAATTTGGCCCTCCCCACTTATTATACAAATGCAGCTTCTGCCATTAATAACATGCGGCTTAACAGCCACTCGTTAATTATGATTTCAAATGTTTAAAAGATGTATGCTCAATGCTCCACAGTACAAAACACTGAATGCTGCTCCAAAAAGCTCATTATCAAAGGCTGTCTGAACCACGCATGTGTGCCTTGGAGAAGCAGAAATGACCTTTGTGCTATGAAGTACAAAAGAAGACAAGAAGTGGTTGTGGAGTGAAAGGAAGTGGGAAAGGACAATGTTCAAACAGCCTCACTTAATGCACTTAACTTTTGTCTCTAGGTTAGAAAGTTGGTTTCTACAGACTGCCTGAGTGGTGGGGGGAGGGAGAGCCTCCCTGACATCACTACTTGGCCACAAACACTGACTTAGTTGTGGTTTCAGCTATTTTCTTTCAGTACCCCACTGCTGTAGGTTCTTGTAATTGAAGAGCTCCATACATGACCCTCTAACCCCATTTCCTATAAATCTTTTTTTGTTTTCCTTGCAAATTAAGCAATCATAAAATACCTGTGTTTGCTGAGGACCTATATCCATGTTTTTCAGGAGGCTGTTTAGGAATGCTGTGACACTCTCCCATGGATAAATGCTGTTGGACCCATCAAGGACTATGACAATGTCCAACTGGGTTTTACACTCTGCAACACAAATTGACAGATAAGAATTGATACTAACAAGGATCAAATATATCTCACAGCTCCAGCTACTTCTGTGATTAGTAACAAACGCATATCCTTCTGCAGTGGGGCTGAACTGACATGTTTGATGCCAACTGTCATTCATCAATTTCTGCGTTGTATTTTACATCGTTTGTGTTCCCTTTATCAGCAAGGAACTTTCTTGTAAGCAGAAATTTAAGAATGGGATCAGAAGATGATGTAACTGGGGTATTTACTAGTGACCCCTACCTTCTTCAATGTCATTCTGTTCCTCTTTGATTTTTCCAAAGGACCAGGTCTTTAAGATTTTTATTTATATTACTAAATTGGGTTTGTTTTATGTCTTAACACGCCATCATTATTTAAAAAGCCTTTTGGCCATAAGTAAAAAACATATGCAACTATTTTTAGCAATGGTGTTTGGGTGTTACATAGCACTCTAATGATTGTTTATACTGAGATAAATTCCAAAAGTAGCAAGAATTTAGGTTATATACAGACAATGAAAACATTTACTTAACTTGGTAATGCTGGTAGCTAAGTTAAGCAGTTCATACTTTTTGGTATGTCTATGTGTATACATTTGTCTTGTTTGGCACTTTGCATTTTCGGACGCACAAGAGAATTTCTGTGGCATGCATACCTTGCACAGACGGAGCAATTGCCTCGACGGTTTCAAAACTGGAGCTGACATTAGAGCAAACTCCTGTTGTGTAATGCAAACGCCCACATTTATAAGCATAAAGTGGTCCACATGCCTTTAAAAGATGAAAAAGGGTGAAATGTTGTTATAGTACCTGAGGAAAAAACAGACTTCTTTTAAAATTGGCAAAAAGTCCTTTCTTACCAGAAAGCCTCCTTTTGGGTTAGTCACTAAGGTTGTTCCAAGAGTCATGTTTTCTTTTACTTCCACAACATTAGGAACTGAAGTAGCAGCTATAAATAGATTAAAATGTTAAGTATTTGGGAACATGAAAACAAAATGTTAAAGTATATATCCCCTAGCACAGAGCTTCACTTCCAGCTTCTAAAATAAAACCCAGACTGATACTGGTTTCATCAAATATTTTAGCACCCTTCCTCCTCCTTCTTCAATTGCAACAATCAAGAAAAATCTCTGAGACTGGCTTTTATCCCAGAAAATTTGTCTGGGTTGCTGCCTCAAATAGTTTTCTTGAACCGCAGAAAAGAAAAAAAGTAAAAATAACAGCATAATAAAAGCAAGAGATTACTGTTCACACAGTTTTGCTAATTAGAAAACAAACATTCATTTTTTACCCTGTCCTGCTATAAATGACTTAACAGCTTGTATATTTGTTACTGTTATGTTACATTACTGACATTTCAGTTTTCAAGGGGAAAGAGGAGGTGGAAAATACCATGACAGGTATATTCAGTGAAATTCGTATTAACAGAGAGTCTCTTCCTGTCTACATTGTGTATCTCTTTACATGAGCAAGAAAATTATTAATATTTACCTGTATCATATTAAGATGCATCAGCCTGGTTCTGGCTAGTTACGCTCTCATCAAAAGCTTACTGATGGCATTAAGAGAACTCTTGTTGGCTTCAGACAGCTTTGGAAAGGTTAATCCATGAATCTATGCTCCACGGCCTTTCTGGCTCCATGGCCAGGACTGCCAACCACAGTCAAGTAATGCCAGTCATAATAAAGTTTTGGCAACAGCCAAATGCCCAGTTTAAATTATGAGCATGTTTTCAGGGGACAATGAGAACCTTTAAAATAAAGTTATCTTTGATGTTACAAACACAACTTCCTTTGCACTTAGCTCTGGAGTCCTAACTAAATTTTTTCTATAGAAACAACTTTAATGCATATTTACTAGCTAAAAATCTCCTAAGATCTGACCTCTATTATTCCTCCACATGACACAGCTTTATTTTCTTTCGTACCTGGTAAGTTCAGTTTTATGCAGGGTGACTCGTTGTCCCTTCCTACAGGGCATTTGTATACATCTCCTGTTCTTTTCTCAGGTTGGCCAACTAATGGTGAACCAATAAGTACCCTGCAAATTAAAAAAGTTATGTGAAATTTCTTCTTTCTTGAAAGGCACAAAAGTCAGCAAGTAAAACTTACATGAAGAGCACAGGTACAGCAAGGTCCCATACAAAGAGGATAGGATGGAGAGCAAGAAAAGTATCTATTAAGCTAGTTCAGATACTAGCAAAAGTAGCCATTCTGTCTCCTCTTTAGCAAGAACACAGAAAGGAAATGTGTCTATATACCACATTACACAATAGAATAACATTAATAAAAGTACAATGGAAAATAAAAGCAATATTAATGGGTGGGTGACAAGTATTAAAAGTAATACAGAAGTAAATACATGTTTTATTTAATATCTCCTTGATCTTTAATATATTTTAAAAGAAAACGTATTTTCAATGCTGAGACCAAATGCCAAAAGAGAGACTCACAAGGACCCAGAAGAATTCAGTCTTAAGTAACGTGAGCCAGTGTAAAATACATAATTTTACTTTAATAAATAAAAATAACATATTAAAAGTGTTATTAAAAGCAATTTCAAATTTTTAAAATGTTAAGGATTTTTGTACTGTGCATTTTTTTTCAAAATTTGGTGTGGTCAAAAATCACCGTTCTCATATAGTACTTTGTAAGCACCACAAATTAGCACCTGCTCCTAAATGCAGTTTTCAGCAGCAAACGCTTTGTAGAGATGGACACTGTTTTTGTTCCCAAAACTTCATTAGCAACGTTAGATGGCCCAGCATTACCCAGCAGATATCAACTGGCTCCATTAAATGTGTAAGGAAGAACTTGCATTAAATTAGAATTCACAGCACATACTGGAAACAGAAATACTGCCATTAAGAGTAATAGTTCAGTAAGATTTGCTGCTGGACACTTAGATGATTGTGAAGACTTATTGAGAGAACAATTTCAAACTTCAACCATAAATTACTGAGTCCAGGCAGAAGGTATTTGGATAGAATGATATAATAGGCAAAATATAGCCTACGGATTTGGAAAAGACAGAAAGGAGAATTTAAACCCAGTACACAACCCAGCTTCTAAAAACCATGCTGGAGCTGCTTATTGTGATCCATAAAGATTTTTTCATTAGTAATTAATTAATTGTAAAGGGAAAAAAAAAAAATCTCCAAGTATATACTGGATCTGACTGCTCTTTCAAGCCATATGCTGTAATGCATGTATTTTTTACACCAAAACTTAGAAACAGGCACCACAGCCTACCACGCATGCTTGACTTCCATTTAACTGCAGGGAAGCTGAGTGTGCCTGACATCCGTGGGAGGTGATAAATGCTCAGCAAGATCATGGCCCTGTGCTGTTCTTTTCTCAGAAAGAGCAAGCCCCAAGAAGTGGCCTGAAAGGCTATTTTGTTTTTTTGCAGCAGGAGTTTTTTTAGGGGACCCCAGTTTTATTAAGAAACAACTACAGTCTGGCTTACAGAACATCTGTTGCTGAAAATCTTTATCTGTGGTATCTAGATAGCGTTACAGCAGTTGACAAAGCATCACAAGGCTGCTTTGTATATTTATTTTTAACTGTTGACCTATAGATTTCCTGCTCTGGATGTTGCTATGCTGAAAGCAACTTGAAAGCTTGACAATTTAACAGCAGAGTTTTAATTCCAGAGATGTTCAGATGTAGGACACTAGTTTAGATTCCTGTCTTCCTTTAGGTTGTATTTCCAGCTTGTATTTTTTTGCTCTTGAAAGGTTTCAGGACAGTTTACAACAGTATAGCTTACTTTGCAAAATCCCAGCTCCTAGAATGGATACCATTTCCTGAAGATCTAAATTAGCTCAAAGAAGGTCATTATTATTCTCCCATGACCCTCATGCAGATGTATATTTAAACATCCTACAACCTGGGCAATCAAAAGCTAGCATTTTCAAAAGCAGGCTTGACAATTTTATTTCCGTGAACATCCCCTACAGCTAACGGTGAACACTGTGTTGCCGTGGTGGACAGGCTCTCGGAGTCAGACAGCCCCGGCACTCGTGGGTGGGATTGCTTGGGCAGTGCAGAACAGTCTGACCTGGCTGTCACGCAGCCGCGTGCCCCTCATCCCAGATGGCCTGTGGGAGTCCCTGAATTTACCAAGAATGTCAAATTACTGGCAAAGCTCTGGGAAAACCAAAGCAATCTGAAAAGAATGATGGCGATCTCAGGATTCCCAAACCTTTACCATTCAATCGCTATTTCAGTCCTCCAGCCCACTGGTTAGGCTGTGAAGTTTGTTCTTACAAGGGAAAAGCATAAGCAGGTGTTTATCAGAAGACCGAGAAGCAATGATACCAGTAAGCACGCCAAAATGCAACTTCTAATTCAGGAGAATGAGAAGGAAAGGACAGGTTAAGAAAAAGGCTCCATGTCCCAAATGCGACTATATCACCAATTGCAAGACATAATTATCCCCCCGAAAGGGAAGGTGGAATACTGTATTAGTAAGTATTTTGACAGTGAAATCTTCCCACCAGTTAAAAAACTCAGTTCAGACAACCTCTGACAGAGAACTTTAGGAAAAAATACATGATACAGATTAATTAGGTAAAACAGGAGTAATTTCACTGCCAATACATTAACACAAGGAAATTATTTCATTCGGTAAATGGAAAAAGGAGGACTCAGGCATAACATAAAACTTTCTCAGCCCCATCAACGAGGGAATTTAGCCATTTTGTGAACTCAGTTTATGTCTTTGAGGAAATAAATGTAGCTATAAATTTCGATCTTTCAGTCTCCCAATCTTCCCAGGTTTTCTTAGGTCTGTGCATTAGTTTAAGAAATATGACTGACAGAATCTGACCCTTATGTATGGGGCATACTTACAAATAATAATATAGACCCTAGTCACTGAATACCTGATAATTTTGTGTTTCTATTCAAGAAAAGAAAAACAGCTTACCATTTCCCTTCCTCATTTTCATACTGTTGGACTGTATACCCGAACATGTCTTCCAGAGGCCCGCTGAAGGTCATTGCATTTTTCACATCAACATTGGAAGAGCCAACGAGGTGAAATAGAGCTTTAAAAAAAGTAATATGTAGCAATACACATAAAACCCGAGACTTTTAAGAAATCAAGGTTCATTTATGACATAACCGACAGTACAAGACAGGGGTTGAAAGTGTCATTTTGGGCATATTTATCACAGCTGGTAGGAGATTTAAAACGTACTTCCTTACACATCAATACTCAGCTAAATTCAGAGATGTTAGCAACTGGACTTCTGTGTCCAAAACCTATTTTGCAAAGTCCATCACTTATTTGTAATTCACAATTCAAATAACATTAAATAAAATATTGTTACCTTTAATAGTAAGTAAAAGAACTTTTTAGTTATTTTTACTCCTTTAGCTCTATGCATTTCTAATGTCAGAATTTTACACAAAATGTTCCTTCCCTCATTCAAGGTAGCAGTTCTTAAGTTTTCATAAATTTGAGAATTAACTAACTTTCAACTGTTTACAGAAGACAAACATAGGAAAAGAATGAGGAAAAGCTTTCAGATGTATTTAATTTCAACCTATATTAGGGAAAAAAAGGATATAGTTTTCTCTTAATTCTGTTCTAGGGTACCTGTAAACCATTTATCTTTGGAAAAGAACAGAATAAATTTTTAATGCAACCAGATGCAGTTATCTTGAAAGTACCTTTATGTGCCTATTTGCAGAAATCCAACATTTACCCGGTTAGGAAAAAGTTGCTCTATAACTGTGGTATTGGACTACGATGAGAACAGTCATCACAGCAGATACTTCTTCAGACTGATTTCCCGCACCCTAAAGCTCAGCGATCATTGTCAGGGAAAATACTGTAAACATATGACTGTATAGCAAGCTTCAGAAAAATGAGGTATATAGGGTGAAAACTTCAGCTTGAAGTGACATCCGTAACCCACCTTGAGGCTCATTAAGAAGCAAAATTTACTATTTATATATAAAAATAAGGTTATTTATCTTTTCTTTATTTTATTTCTTAGAGTGATCTCTTCCATCTTTGTCCTGTTGAAGTCAGTTTCAAAAGCAACCACTGGCTCTGCTGCTGCAGAACACCAAAATTAGTTGAATTTGTAGAACATCAAAACTACTTAAAAACACAATTATACACAACTTTCATTTCATTTCAAAGAAGCATTTAATGATCATTTGCTGACATTAAACAGTTACATAAAAATATCCATATCCATAATACTCGTTGCATGTCAAAGCATATAATAAAATCCAGTTAACTAAAATACATCTGTGTTATTCACCACTGAGACGATGATATTCTCACAGCTTGTTACTATAATTAATCTCCCAAGTGGTCAATGCTAATCTGTCTTTCTCAGCATCTTATTTCCTGCTTAATGCAGTAAAATTATCACAAAGGACTATTTATTACTTAGTAGGTATTTTCAGTTTCACTGGACAGCAAAAAAGGAACAGTTTCATTAGTGTTATTTTAGCTTTTCTTCCTCCAGTCACAGTCAGGAAATATAAAGTAGTGAACAAATTAACACAGCATTTACTTTTGTTCTTCAGAAAAGATTCATTGCAAACAATAAAAAAATCATGGCTGACAGCCTGACAGGAAATAATTTGCCAGAAAAGTAATCCATGCATCTTTTGTCTTCCTTAAATATTTATATTTAAAGAAATTCCGCTATGCCTGTTCACATGCAATAGGTGTTTTTCTCCCCTATTCTTGATCATCAAAGCATAATTAGAATCAACATAATTGATTTTTTTAAAATACAGTCAAGTTATCACTGGTTCAAATCCTCTTTTGTTAAATTTCAGAGTAAAAATAATTGCTATTATTATTTTTGACACAATGTGTGGGATTCAGACCATGTCATTTAGACTCCCAACCTACCTCCTAGACATTGAAATGGTTCTAATTGAGATCACCTGCTAAAGTAAGTGTCGAAATTTATTATTTAGTTGTAAAAGAAAGGTAGATGCAAAAATCTGTGTCTATGAGGTGAATTTTCCTCTTAAAGATCTCTGGAAGCTTATTTACTTTAGCCCTTGAATAAGATGGACAGAATATTCTTCCAGAGGTCTTCAGAGGCATGTTTTTTCACCTTATGATATTTAAAACATATTATGATATGAAATATTAAAAGTCACAGATTCCAGCTCATGTTTTCCAATTTACTTTCTCCTAAAGCTACCAAAGGTTACACGTGCACTTGGTGCTCTGCACACTCCATCATGTTACCCTCCATCATCATTCCTTCATTTGCTGACAGACAACGAATTTTTTCACAATGATGCAGTACTGACAACTACAGTGATTTTTACTGTGCATTCACTATACTAAATGGTCTTGAAGTTTCCTGAATCTGTTACGTAGTATACTCAAATCTCCTAATTTTAAAGAGTAAACTTTTAATCTTCATAGTTGTAACAGAAAGTTTGCAAAAGTGAAATACTAAAACAAGCAAACTAGAAGGCAAAAAAAGCCAGCTCTTTGCTACTAACCCCCTAAATCCTTGTGCTTCTGCGTAAGGTCAAATTAGAATCAGCAAAAATAGTAAGTGTTCTTCTAAAAAATAAAGCTAGAGGAATCAAAAAAAGCTAGATAGGCCAGACTGAACAGAAATAAAAAGGAAGTACTCCACACAGCAGGAAACAGACCTGCAGACCTTGTGGACAAAGAATGTTTTGGATGCTAAATGTTATATATTCAATGGGTAACTGAATAAGTTAAGGGAAGACAAAACCACTGCAGGTTACAAACCATAGGGAATGTACATCTGGTTCAGGAAATCCCCTCAGCTGGAAATATTTGGCAATTGGAAGAGTAATATTTTATATGCTTGCTCAGCGGCTTCCATGTACTCCTGCAGACATGATACTGGATAAAACATGGTCTTGATTTGATCCAGTATGGCTATCCTTTTGCTCTTTCATCTTCCCGTTCTATCTTAGCCAGAAATCAGATGCTTTGAAGTTTGACTTCATACACAAATTCTGTGGCATATTTTAATATGCAAATGTATTACATGACCTTCTGTGGCTTCCGTGTGCTATGAAACATCATAAGTATAATGTTTTTGAATAACAGTAAGGGTCATGATAAGCAGTGTAAGATTTACTTATAAATCATTAAGAAATTTAAAGGTATCTTACTGTATTTTACAAAAAGTCTGTAAAAGGAAACCTTACTAGATCAAATCTGCAGATGGTAAATGGACAAGTGGAGTTGACAGTGATCCATATTACACTGTTAACTAACAATAATCTACTGATTTATGGAAACTGGTTTTCACATTTTATTTAATTTTTCAGTAGAAAGAACATTGTACATGTGAGCTGACAATCCAGAACATTTTAAAAAAAATGACTGTACTGTGAAAATGGTAACTTTATTTTAATAACAATATCTATCTTGCACTCTTCCAAACTTCCAGTTTCTAAGACACGCACATTCTCATCTGTTTCTAGAAAAATTCTGTATATGAATTAAAAAGACTATTGGCAGAAGCAGTGGAAAAAGAAGAGCTACATGGAAGTTGGAGAGGATTCTTTTGAGAGTTTGTGGGGATTAAGGAGAAAAAAAACCTTTTTTTTTGTAAGGTACATAGTATTTGACTACATACTTAATCACAATTAGTGTAGGTAAATTAAATTAAGATTTTTAATTCTTTCAGGTTGTGTTAACAGAATGACTAAAAATGCAGATCAGAAATGCAGAATATGAATATTTATCAAAGGATAAAACTGGAGTTACACCTTCTAACTTCATGTTCTACAAGAAATGAGGCGCTATAGAAAACCCGGGACAACATCCCTCTCACTACTGATTTGAGCTGAGGGGAACACTCATTGATGCATACCACATTCTTTGCTGAGCACAGTTTGTACCTATATGTGAAAGGTTAACACTCAGTCACCAAGACAACAACCCAAATATTATTTCTACTGCAAACCTAGAGTAGTAGCTCATACTTGTCAGGTAGCCACTAATAATTTTTTTTTTTTTTTTTTTTTATTTAATGAGGTCTTTTAACCAAATGCTCATGCTGTCTGCCTCTAAACCATGAAAAACTAGATTTCCCTGGCGCTTGTCCACGTGCATATCGCCTGGCCACTCTAACATTTGCAAGCAGAGAACTGCAGGATAAGCACCCTTATCTTCCTAGAACACATGGATATAAACATAACCCGAACTGTAGAACAAAGCCTAACACCTGGCTCTTTACTGATGAAAAAAATATCACCACAAATCACCCACAATAAATGACATCATGAAGACTGATTTACATAGGAGAAGAGAGCAAACTCAGTTATTTAAACTGTTAAAATTCACGTTTTATCTGCAGCAAATAACAATTGTATCCTCTATAAACAGCGGTTATTCTGAGAAATGCAAATCTTTCTGCAAAAATAGAAAAGGACAAATTTGCACTTTGCACTGAACAGGGCTTTCACGTTGGCTGCACACTACTTCTTGCCACCAACATGTGGTCAGTGTTATTTTTGTTCCATTTCACAGTTACTGCTATAGCATGTCAGGTGTTCTTATCAATTCCTCTGCATCTTGCAAGAAGACACTGAAACTAAGCAGGTCTAAGTGTAATCAAGGAGGACAACAAACCAAGTAGAAATGTCTTGCAAAAGTATGCACAACTAGAAATTACTGGGAAGCTCAAAAAAAGTTATTAGCAGAAAAAAACCAACCAAACAAACCAGAATGCTTACATCCTGGAAAATAAAAAAGGATAGAGAAATTTAAGCTGAAGATTAAAATGAGATTAAAATGTTTTATGGAGTTCTCATATACCTGGACCTCCTGCAAAAATAAAAAATATGCTTCAGTGTCTTGTACAGCACATATTACGACCAATTATCTTGTAAGGATATTTTAAAGACCTGCAAACAACACAGGAGTGCAATACAACACCACAAAGCAGTGCAGCTGATCAAAATGTACTGAAAGCTAAGTGATATGTCCTAGTTTATAAGGCAATAACCAATTGCCTTTAAAAGTATTTTATGCTGATTTGCAAAAGACTGCCTGTGTCTGTTAG